GGGGCCGGCCCGCAGCGCCTGGAAGGCCACCCGGATGGTGAGGGCGCTGCCCTTGCGCGAGTAGCCCAGGTTGTTGAGCGGCGTGTGGCACACGATGGCGTCCAGTGCCGCCTGCGTGGCCCGGCGTTCCTCCCTGGACAGCTTCTTCCCTGCGGGGACCATCAGCGTGGCGGGGACGGGACCGCTGGCCCCTGTCTGGCCGCCTCCAGCACCTCCTGGCTACGACTGTCCCATCCCAGCCGCCCCTCCGGGCCTCCCCGGATCTCTTCCCCCCCTTCCCTCACCCCATCCGTCCCCTCTTAGCTACACCCAGAGGCACCCCCAGCCCCTCTGATCCCCTCTCCACCCTCTCGGTCACTGCCACACCCCTTCTGCCCCCACCGGCTGTGGCGGTCTCGGGCGTCCAGACGAGGCGCACGGCCAGGAAGTCCTGCAGGTCGTTGAGCAGCGTGTAGGTGACGGTGAAGCGCTGCCGGGCCCGCACCGGGGACTCGCAGGCAGCCGTCATCACGAAGCGCGGCCGCTCCAGGCGGATGCTCGGCAGCCTGGGGATGGCAGGGGGGTACTAACGTGGGGATGGCTACCGGGAGCCGCGTACATGGGACAGCCCCGCAGAGCCCCGAGTATGTGGGGACAGGGCCACGGAAGCAGCCACGTGGCAGCCCCAGGACACGAGGTTAATGGCGCAGGCAGGGGCAGGGATATCTCTGGGTCCCCCTCCTTGGGGCAGGAGGCTCTGGGGGTCCCTCCCCGCTTGGGGACAGGGCGGCTCTCACCGGTAATGTGTGTAGATGCTGCTGGTGAAGGGCAGTTTGGGCGTTGACCACTGGATCACGGCCACCAGTGGGACCTCCAAGCCCTGGGTGAGGGGACAATGGGTCAGAGATGTCCCTGTCACCACTGCTCCCAGCAAGGACATCGATCCCCGACGTCCCCGTGTCCCCCTAGGCTCCTGGCAAGGACAAACACGCCAGGGCCCAACAAGGACGGTCCCCCACAGCGAGGATGGCGGCCCCCACATCCCAGCCAGGGTGGTCTCTGCTGCCCCCAGGAGAGGACAAGGACAGCATCCCCCAGGCCACCGACCGGGACGGTGGCCCCTGATCCTGGCCCAGGCAACATCTCCCAACAGAGAGACCATCTCCAAGGACGGTCCCTGCCCAGGATGTCCCCCAGTGTCCCCTCGGGGCAGCCACCGCTAGCGTCCCCCCAGCCCTGAGGGTCCCCCCCGGTGTCCCCTCACCTCCTTGGCGTCCTCGGGGGGCCTCTCGGGCGCCTGGAGCTGGAAGAGGAAGTTGTGCTCCTCGAGGGCGCTGAGGGCACAGGGACAGGCCGAGCCGGCGCCGGCCACACGGCAGAAGGCGCCCACAGGCACCTCGCCCGAGTGGTGGCTGCGGGACGGGGCACGGGCTCAGCTCAGTGACACGCGGGGACCTGTGCTGCCAGCCCGGGCTGGCAGAGCCCCCCAGGGCTTCCCCAGGGTGGGGCCAGGGACACGGCACAGCCCCGTCCTGAGGAAAATGGGGGGGCCCTGTGGGGTCTGGGACACAGCACAGCCGTGCCCCCCCAGCCCCAGGGACGGTCCCCTGGCTGTCCCAGCGCTCACCAGACATCATCGACCAGCAGCACGGAGCCATCGGGCATGACGGGCAAGTAACTGGCGTTGAAGTTGGGCAGGATCTGCACGTCCCACAGCGAGATCTCCTCCTGGGACCAGCCGTTGAGCACTGGGGGACGGGGACATCAGGGGACAGCGCAGGGGACGCCGTCGTGGCCCCGGCCAGCCCGTGTCACATCCTCCCCTGCCCTGCTTCCTCCGCTCTGTCGCAGCCGCCCCACAGACGCCAACCCTCTCCCAGCCACCCCGGGAGCCCTGTCCCCATGCCACCACCCTGTTCCCCCTCACCTTTGAGCACAGTGAGGTACTTCCCGGACACGGTGAGCTGGCGGCATCGCACCACGGGCGGGGGCAGCACCGTCAGCAGGGTGCTCACTGCGGGGACACAGGCGGTCAGGGGACACGGGATGTGGGGACACGGGGAGGGAGAGGGGACGCGGGGACGTTCCTACCCTGTGCCTTGAAGGCCCCCTGCTCCTGGCGGAAGACGTGTGCAGGGGCCCGTGTCTGCAGCAGGCTTAGGTACCCGCCACCCTCCTGCAGCTCGGGCGGCTCCGTGTCCCTTTTCCACACTGTCACCACGATCTGGGGACAGCAGGGACACGGGTCGGGTCACGGCTGGCCCGGGTCCAGCCCCGAGCTCCCCCTCTGTCCCCACGGCTCCTCCTGTCCCCCATGCCTACCCCAAGAGGCTTTCGTGGACCCGGAGAGGGGGAAGCAGGGCTGGATCCTGCTCCCCATCCCATGTCACTATGCTGTCCCCAAGGTCCCCACGTTGCGATCAAGGTCCCCTCCCGTCCCCAAATTCTACCTTGCCCTTGATGAACCCAGAAAGGAGGACCAGGGCCAGATCTCTGTGCCAGCTCTGTGGTCCCACACTGTCCCCAAGATCCTGTCCCTGATGACTGCATATTGTCCCCAAGGTCCCCTCCTGCCCTCGAGGTCCCCAGGCCGTCCCCAAAAACCCCACGCTGTCTCTGAGGTCCCCTCCCATCCCCGAGGTCCCCACGCTGCCCCCGAGGTCCCCCCTCCCGTCCCCCCTCGGCCTCACCTTGGCCTTGACGGTGCCAGGCGGCAGCTTGTTGATGGAGAGTGTT